CCCCCCCCCCCACACACACACACACCTCCCCCAAACCATGGCACCACAAGGCCCAACACTAACTGGAGTTACCCACAACCCTCCCTAGGCCCAAACCTGAGCCCAGTTAAGAGAACTCCCACCCCCTCAGGCCCTTGGTTGGGTTCTGCCAGTCCAAGCCTTTCCCCAGAAAAGCCAGCCCCATCACACCAGCACACAGGCTGCTCTCAAACAGGGCTCAGCCCCAGGTAGCCAGGCCAGGTACCCACAGCCCACATCAACAAAAGCAATCCAATACCAAACCAGCACCAGTTTTGCTCAAGCATCCCTCTGCCAGCCTACAAGGGGAAAAATAGTTTCCTATGTTTTTCTCATTTAAAAGAGAACCCAATTTTTAAAGTTTGCTCACAGCCCTTTCATATTTTCTTGCAACCCACTTTTGGGTCCCAACCCACAAGTTGAGAAGTGCTGCTCAAGACCAGAGGCAGTAGGGGAAGCAGCTCAGCTCCTGAAGTGCCCGGGGGGCAGGAAGCCAGGCACAGCAGCCACCTCCCCACCCAGCTGCCAGACCAGCACAGCCCCAAACCATCCCACTCCAGCAAACCACAGCCTCAGAGCCACACAGGCAGCCCCAAGCAGGGACAGAATTACACTGACTCTTGGGGGCAGGCGAGTTCAGGGCAGGGCCCAGGAGCAAGGCCAGGGCTGATCCAGGTGCACACAGCAGGGCAGGCCCACCCCACTCAGCAGCCCTGCAGGGAAGCCTTAGAGCAGAGCTGACCCCAGACACCCTGAAGGGAAAGGCCAGAGCAGGGAACTAACGCAGCTGCCTCATCATGCAGACACAGGCGGCAGCCAGAGCCACAGTCAGGGAAGCTGTGACCTCCACCCCTTCGGGCTTGAGACACACCGCCCTGCCCTTTGAGGAGGTACCTGCTGCGCCACACTCCCTGCCCCAGAGACCCAAACTAGGCAGCAAAATAATCTTTGTTTACCTGCACCGGAGAAAAAGTTTACCTCTGCTCCAGTGCCACAGACTCCACATCCCAGCAACACCTACATGTAGTAAACAAGTGCAAAAAGCCTCATCGCTGCTTTATAAAGGTTACGGGAGCCCCGCCCCCACTAATCGCTGACCAATCAGCAATCGGGGGGCGGAGTTTCTCAGCCTTTATAAAGTGAGCGTCGAAGCATTTTGGGTTTTTTTTTCCACGGGAAATGTTACTAGAGTGGTTGTAGGATGCTGGCTTTCTGGTTGCTGAAAAAGAAGTGTTTGTTTTCACTTCTGTAGAGTTGTTCTTAGTATGTAATATATTTAGCTTTCTCTTTTTGTTTCATTGGCTGTGCTTTGCTGTTTGGGGGTTCTTTGTTCTCTTTCTGTGTTCTTTGGTTTTTCACTAGTCTTTCCCAGGGCTCTTTTGTTCTGTTATTTACTTAACTTTGTTTTGGGGGGGGGGGCTTCTTCAGGCTTTCTCACTATTTTCTTTGAGTTTCAGGTGCTTCTTTAACCTCCACCCTTTTTTGTATTTCTTGTTCTTCCATTCTCTTCTCCCTTGTCTCAAGTGGTTCTTCATCTTGTCTCCTCTACTTCCCTTGCTGTCTCAGCTGCTTCCCTGGCCCCTCTCCTCTCCTGTCCTGTCCTCTACTGTCTTGGGTACTTGTCCAGCCCCTCTTCTCTTCTCCCTTACTTGCTGTCAGGTGCTCCATCAGCCCTCCCCATGTTTTGCTGTCTTGGGTGTTTGTCCTGCCTTTCTCCCTTATTTCTGGTGCTTCTTTCAGTTCTTGGTTCATTTCCTCCTACTCTTCCTCCTGCTGTTTCTGCTGCTGTTCCAGTATGTCCAGTATCATGTTTCTCCTCTCTGTCCCTGATGCTTATACAGTCCCACTTCCATCTAACTGTCTGGGATCCTCCCTTGCCTCTCAGTAGCATATGCAGCCACTTCCCTCAGTTCCTTGGTGTCACAGGTGCTGTAACCAGCCTTGCTTCTCATACTTGGTGTCTTTAATAGTCTCTTCTCTCTTCCTTGTTGACTTGAGTGTTTTACTAGCTTTTTTCCCCCAGCTTGGTGTCAAGTTTTGTTGCATTGTTAGCTTAATGGATGCTTCTCCAGCTCTTCTCTGCTCCCTGGTGTTTCTTGTGCTTTTCCCTCTTTGGTGTCCCCATGGATTCTTTTGCTTCCCTTTTCTTCTTGATGTTTGAGGTCATTATCCAGGTTCTCTTTCCTCCTTTTGTCTCCAGTGCTTCTTTCCTTCTCCTTGGTATCACTTCAGCCTCTCCTTTTCCTCTTTCGGAGCCTTTCTCTTCTCCCTTGCTGTCTTGGGTCTATCCAGCCTCACTTCCTTCTTCCTTAATGTCTCAGCTGTCTCTCCAACTTCCTTTCTTCCCTCCTTGGTGTCTGATATGCTTCTGCAGCCTCCCTTCTTCCCTGCCTTTTCTCAGGTGGTTCTACAGCCTGTTTTCTCTCCTCCTTGGTGTCCCTGTTTCTTCTCCCCACTCTTCTTTTCCCCCTTACTTTCATGTGCTTTGACAGTTGCTTCCCTCTTTTGTACTCTCTCTCATATGCTTCTCCAGTCTTCTTCATGTGCTTCAGTCTTTCCTTTTCCTCTTGGTGTCTCTTGCCTGCTCCTCAAAACCACCTTGCCAATGGTGTTGCTGCATCTTTTCCAGCCTTTCCTTTCCTCCTTGCTATTTCAGGTGTTGCTGCAGTTTTTTCCAGCCTGCCCTTTTGGTGCTCCTCAGCTTTTTTCTTTCAAACTTTGCCTTGGTGTCTTATGCTGCTTTAACTTAATGTCTCTTCCTCCATCACTAAGGTTCTCCTCCAGCCTTTCTTCTTTGGTTTGGTAACAGGTACTTCTGCAACTGCCTTTGGTGCTTGTGTGTTCTCCAGCCTCTCCTCTTTACCTCCCACTGTCTTGCTGCACTTGCAATCTTTGCTTGTCCTGTTTGTTTTTGAGCTTCTCCTCCAGCTTCTCATTTCAGCATCCTCAACTCCCATTTCTACTTGATCCTCTTTGGTGTGTATCCATTCTCATTCATCTTCTCCTGGATGTCTCCACTGCTGATTCACTCTCTTCTCTCCTCCTTTAGCTTTTCAGTGCTCCTCCCACCTCTCCCTTCTCTTCTTCCCAGGGCTGTCTGCTGCTTCTCCAGCCTCTTCCCTCTCCCCTTTGCATACTGTTGCTTCTCCAATGTCTCAACTTCTCCTTAGGCTCTCTGCTGCTGCAGTCTTTGTTCTCCTCCTTTGGCTCTCCTCTGCTTCCCAAATCTCTCTGCACCCCTTGGGCTTTCTAGTACTTCTCCATCTTCTGTCATCACGTCACTGGTGTCTCTGCTTCACAGTTTTTCTTCTCCATCCTGTGGCTTCTCCTTCCTTTGCTCTCATCCACAGTTTCTCAACCTGTGGTATGTGTACCCCTCAGGGTGACACACAGGCAGGGGGTATGTGGGTACCCCAACACTTTCTCTTGCCTCTTCCTTTTTCTCTTGCCCTTTCCTCAATTATGGCAAAATTTGGTGCAATTAAAATCAAATTCCCCAGTAATTTGGTGTGCTGTGCTTTGTGTGGCACTGGATTCAGCCCTCCTAGCTTTGACCAACATCACCTCTTTCCCAAGTACATACTTGAGTTATGTACCTCTGGTGTTAAGAGGTGGCAACCCTACCCATACCAGATCAGACACCTGTCATATAATGACCTTATATACACAGTCCTTCCAACATATGGCACACATTAGTTGGTAAATATAAAATCCCCTGGAAAATTGTGTTGGGGTACTTATTAAAGCTTTTAGAAGTCAGGGGGTATTTGCTATTTAAAAGGTTGAGAAACACTGGTCTTACCTGCTTCTCTAACCCCTCCCCTCAATGGGTTGCTTCAGGCTCCCTCCCCTGTTTCTTGGTGTCTGGTGCTTCTCAAGCCTCTCTCCACTCCTTTCTGGGCTCTCATCAGCTTATCAAACCTCTGGTTTTACCTCTCGATGCTCTGCTGCTCCTCCAGCTTTTTTTCCCCTCTCCTTTCCCTGCTTGTTTCCCCCAATCTCTTGCCTCTTCTCCCTTGTGCTCTGTAGTACTTCTCTAGTCTCTCTCATCTTGGCACTAGTATCTGCTTCACAATTTCTCCTCTCCTTCCTGGGCTTTCTGGGACTTTCCCCCTTTGGTCTTATCTGCTTCTCTAACCCCTCTCCTCTCTTCAATGGGTTCTCAGTTGCTTCTTCAACCTCCCTCCTCTCTTTCTTGGTGTCTCCAGTGCTTCTCAAGCCTCTCTTCCCCTCCTTCCTGGGTACTTGTCAAACCTCTTTAGTTTTACCCTTTGGCTCTGCTTCTCCTCCAGGTCTTGCCTCTCCTTGGTGTCCCTTGTGCTTTTCCAGCCTCTTCTGCTCTGTGGCATCTCTTGCTTTTCTATCTAAACTCCTTAACTCTGTCTGTTTCTTCTCCTTCCTGTCTCTGGTCTGTATCTGTCATGCCACTTCCTCTCTGTGGCATCTCAGGTACTCTTCTAGCCTTTCTTCTCTCTTCCTTGATTTCTCTGCTACTTCTCCAGCCTCTCTTCTGTCTTACCTGTGCTATCCATTACTTCTCCATAGCCTCTCCTCTGTTCTTTGGTTTCTTAGGTGCTCCTTTGGTCTCTTTCCTCTCTTCTCTGGGCTCTTGGCTGCTTCTGCAGTCTCCCTCATCTCCTTTGTTCTCTGATGCTTCTCCAGACTCTTTCCTTTCCCCTGCTCCTTGTGCTTTCTGTTGCTTCTCCAGTCTCTTGACTTGCAAGGCTCTCGGCTCCTTCAGCTCTGTCTTCCTCCATTGGCTCTTTGGTGCTTATCTAGCTTCTCAGCTCTCCTCTACTTCTCCAGCCTCTCTCCT